TGTTGGCCCGGGCGCGCGGGGGGAGCCGGCCTCACGGCAGACACTCCGACGCGGCCCTTTTCTGGAACAACTCCTTCCTATTGTGGAAGATTGGCCACTTCCTGTTCTTCAATAAGCAAATAAGAAAAATGATGAAAGTCGAATTTACGTGGGGGGAAAATCAATGCTCACATTTTGTTTTTCACGGCCCCATGAGTCACCTTCAGACAGCACTTAGTGTCACGCGCACGGCGGACTTCACCGCATCTGCCGGGCCCTTCACTGACCCTCAGCAGCAACCTCGGCCAACACACAAGAAAGCAAAGCGGTTGCGCACCCGCTGGCTTTGACAGACGCACAAAAGCATCCGATGAGCCGCCCGAACGGTTCATACATTTTGGCCGTTTTGGTTCTGAATGTGGAAATGGGATGCGGCCGCTGTTCGCTGCAGAGCCGGATCGATTCTGTGAGATGGAGGGCTGGTGGCCACCCCCCAAAAAAATCTTCACAATTTGCCTTGATAGCTTTTGTTTTCTTCAGCGCGCTTCAAAAAGCGAACGTGTTTTCAAGCGGGCCTTTCATCCTTGCGTTTTTCTGCTAGCGGCCCTCCGTCGAACGAGTTTGGACACCCGATCCATCGTGCTTTTGAAGCCGACGCAATTTCAAGCTGGAGGGGAAATGCGCGTTTTCAGTAAGTGCGCTAAAAGTAGACATGAAGCGAATTCTTCAATAAGCAAATAAGAAAAATGATGAAAGTCGAATTTACGTGGGGGGAAAATCAATGCTCACATTTTGTTTTTCACGGCCCCATGACGCAGCCCTTGGCAACTACAGCACCGTTGGCTTGCGTCTTTTTGCACCCGACCGGCCATCGGGGCGTCAAATAGCCCCCGCAACTTTGGTCCCTCAGAATGTTGGTTCCCACTCGCTGGGTTCTCCTCAAGCCAACATCCTGAGCATCAAAGCCGGCGCCCAACGGGCAAAGCGTCTGCTCTGAGCGACGCGTGCGGAGCTCCTGGACATGATTTTCAGGTTGAAGAAAGATGAGGAGGAGGTCTTTCAACGCCGGCAGCCATGGCGGCTCACCGGGGACTCATTAACACACCCACCGCGCACGCACTCTGGGGAGGCGACCATGTCGGGACGCAAACGCAAAGCTTGGAGGACAAAAATAAGAGCAGCTTTTGTTTTCAAGGAAAGAAGACCAAGAAGAAGAAGAAGAAACAAAACACCGACATCCCCGCCTCGATTGTGTTCAAAGGGAATTACCGGCTCCGTGCTTTGGCACGCATGAAAGCAGACCCATCGCACTCGGCGACGGCAAATTGGATTCACAGAAGGCCTTTTTGTGTCCCAAAATGATTTGACCGCCAATTTCAAAAATGTCTTCATCGGGTTTTGGAGAGGTTTTCAGGTTTTGTTTTTCAGGCCACTAAAAGCTCACACGACGCAGATTTGACCACCCGTCGATATTTCAGGAGCAAAAAAGGCAAGCAAATGGGGAGGAGACGGGGGGGTCCCCGCAGGCATGTTGCTTGCCAACGTTTGAACTGATGGCTGTCCAAAAACTGCAGTTGTTGGTTTACATTCAAACATGAGCTTGCAACCAACATCAGCGATGACACGCACACTGCGAGACCCACACACAAGCGTACTTCCACTCCCTCCAAATCAAATCACTCGTTAACCATTTCTTTGCCCTTGTGTAATATGTTGAAAAACGATGTGAATGTTTTGTTTTTTTTTCCCCCAGGTCATAATTTGGAGTACATGAGGGGTTCAAACGCTTCATCAAGGCATTTCTCGCCAAGGGTTGCAGGGCGTTAACCTTTCGCGGCTACAGTGACGACTCGTTCTAAATGGGTCGTGAATGCGCGAGTGTTCTTGGAGGTGCTAAATCCTGTTCCAGTGGATTTAAGTATTACCTCACTGCCTCCACAGCCTGACCTCACTAATGCATACACGGGACAGACACACACACACACACCCATATACGCTTCCACTGATCCAGGATCAGCTGCTGTGCTTGTTGAGAGAGAGAGAGAGAGAGAGAGAGAGAGAGAGAGAGAGAGAGAGAGAGAGAGAGAGAGAGAGAGAGAGAGAGAGCAGGAACGAATGTGAGGGTTCAGGCGAGGACTTGGCCCAATCGATAAACGGCAACAACGCAACGCGGCGTCGGATGGGAAATTTTGGGCTCCGGGACAGTTGCGGCACAGCCACTTTGGATCAAGTAGACGCCTGACAGATGATGAGTGAGCATGTCAGCACTCTATCAGGGATGGCCTCACTTTTGATCTTGAAAACAGACTGATTGGTCACTTTATCTATCGATGAGGGGGAAAAAAAACACTCCATGTAAAATAGCCATCAATTCATTTTCTGTTCCGCTTTATTCTCACAAGGGTCACAGGGGGGCTGGAGCTTATCCCAGCTCTCTTCGGGCAGTAGGCGGGGGACACCCTGAACCGGTTGCCAGCCAATCGCAGGGCACACAGAAACGAACAACCATCCGCGCTCACACTCACACCTAGGGACAATTTTTGAATGTTCAATCAGCCTGCCATGCATGTTTTGGGAATGTGGGAGGAAATCGCAGTACCCGGAGAAAACCCACATATGCACGGGGAGAACATGCAAACTTCACACAGGAAGACCGGAGCTGGAATCGAATCTGCACTGCGAGGTTGACGCGCTAAACCCTCGACCACCTCCATGTAAAATATGGATATTCATTTTGGTTGGTCAGAAGGCTTTATTTTTTTTAATGTGTATGTTTTATGGATTCATTGATACAGTGTCTTGATCGTGTTTAAAAAGTGCAGTCGACATGTTTCTATAGTGTTGAAAAGTTGAAGTGATAAAGCCACAGATTGGTTTGCACTCGTGTTGTTATCTGTACGGCTTACCAACTTCGGTTGGTGCAACACTTGATTTTTTTTTTTTTTTTGGGGGGGGTCACACTGTAGTGAATACATAAAGTATTGAAAGTTATTTTCTCCAATTTAAGTCTATCAACGTCATATGAATGCATGGTTCATAAGCCAAACCAAAAAAAAACGAGGTATGGTAAATCTGAACGTAATTGTAGTCGTAAAGTCGAATGCATTGCCTGTAGAAAAACTACATTGGCAGAGGATCAGAGAAAAAAAAATTCTTGCATCTGAAATCGCAATTGTAATATTGGGAGCGGAATGGAAATGGGAATCTTTTTCATCATGGTTTAACCTGAGGCAAAAGTGGCAACGCAGCGCGGAAAAACAAAAACAAAAACATGAGAGGCCAAGTGTCATCGGTGACGAGACGCTCACGCGGGAGGACAACGCAGCTGGGCCGGACACCAAACGCAAGTTACCACCGCGACTGACCACCATCTTCATCTCGATCCTCATCCTCTTCCTCACTTAGCCACTTTAGCATCGCGGCTAGCTGGCTAGTTAGCATGCGGCGAATCAAATTCAAATCTCACATTGGCGAATCACCTCCAGCGGGGAAAAAAAGGATACAGTTTGAAACCCTTCAAAATCTCCTTGGCCCTGTCTTCGTCCGAAGACATGACTCCGCTTCTCGCGTCGTCCCGCGAAGGGGTCAGACAAGCTTGGAGCACAGGCGCTGCCGTTCGCGTTAGCTCCCCGCGACGTCAGCTCGCCAGCCAGCCGCTCGCCTGCTAGCGGAAGTGCGTGGAAATGTGCCCGAAAACGAGGCTGCACTCGAAAGGCGCTTTGGGCTTAAGCGTGAGTCTCCGCGGTCGCCGCGCTCGCCGCGGGAGCAGCAGCAGCAAGCTAACCCTGAGCCGATAATGGAATCAGCTAAATATAGCCCAGCCTTCATGACTGACGGCCAGCACGGCCAATCGCAGGCGGAGGAGACCTCGCTCGGGCCAATCGAGGCCCGGGTGTCAACACGTGAGGCGTGTCTTAGCGAGATTCAGACGCGTCACTAGGGGCAACCGCGCACGCACACACGCGCACCACACACTCACAGTCATACGCTCGTGCGCAAGAGTCCACTCTCAGACTCTCAGGAAACGAACGCGATATTTCAACACTTTCCCAGCGGATTTGATCGCCAGCACTCTGGAGGGTCTGTTTACTGTCAGTACAATACAGTAGTTGCTTCTACTGTTTGAAGTGAAACGTTGCTCTTCATTTGCTTCGTCGTCAGTGCGTTTCGGGATTTCTTTTGAGGTGGAAGAGCGAAGGAACGTTGCAGACGAAAGGATCGGCGTGCCACATAAGCTTGAAGGTTGCCTTCAGCGTGCGCGAAACTGCGGCCGATAGCAGCTCCTCAGTCAACGCGCAGTCTTTTGCCGCTCCTTCGAGCGTCGGGACATCGGTCTCGGCCACTATCAACAGCAGTCTGTCTTCTGCTGTCGTTCCCCGACAGTTTCAACATGCTGTGGTGGAAACTCTTGCTCCAGAAACCTGGCCTTGCTCGAAAAAAAAGAGGTGCACGTGCAGTTAAATAGACGTGGGTCTTCCATGCCCTCTTACGAGTTTTTAATGACATCCTCCTGGAAAACGAGACTCCGGACGATTGTCTGTCAGATTTTATTGGATTGCACGACAGCATTTGATACAGTGGAGCACAGTATCCCGTTGGCTCTTTTGCAACACCTGGTGGGCATTGGCGGTAGCGCCCTTGAGTGCTTTCGGTCCGATTTAGCTGACAGAACCTTTTGTGTTAGCCTCGGTTGTTCTGAGTCACGAACTTCCCCACTGTCGGGTGGTGTTCCACAGGGCTTCCTGTAAAACGTGCAAGATCTTGAGTAAGTTTGTTTAAAAAAAGCATAGGGGGAGGCCTAGTAATAGAAATCTTATATTTTGTTTCCATCATAAATTTTGTGTTGTATTTAATTCAAGCATACACTGACAACAATATAAAATAAAAAATATGAATCTAATGAGCAGAGAGTTTGTCCACAGCCCAGCATCAAGGGAGCAACAGCCGACCAGCCTGGCTGCCAGCAAACCAGTGACATCACTTCCTGCGTTCATCACAGCTTCTCATTCGTCCGTTGTCAGCACGTCAGTCGCGACGCCGCCCACCAAACTGGACTCGGTGGAAAAAAAAAAAAAACAACGCTCGGCCCAGAGGAGGCGCTTAGGACTGAGGGAAGACCACCGGGTAGATTTGACTGTAGTGGTCCACAAAGTGAACCTCCAAACCCTCCGTGATGTAGTCCGGCAAGTCCGAGAAGTCCTTCCTGTTCTCCGCCGGCAAGATGATGCACGTCACCCCGGCGCGTCGCGCCTGCCGGCAAACAAAATCAAAGACACGTCAACATGACCGCACGGTTGCACTACACGAGTAAACGTTGACAGAACCTTGGCTTTCAAATTCACTTTGGGTCACACACACACACACACACACACACACACACACACACACACACACACACACACACACACACTTTAGTGCATTTATGTGTTGAGGTGTGCCTTTAAGAGGCCATCAAGAATCAGTTTGGTTGGCTGTTGACCACACGGTCAGTTAGTTCAGCGTAAGCGCCGTCCGTCTTCACGCTCCCTGCGAGTGTTTTCATATAAAAAGGACTTGGGGTTCAAAAGGCCAAAGTAGACGTGACTGCTTGAGCGCGAGACTCACTGCGATGGTTTTCTCCTTGATCCCTCCCACAGGAAGGATCTTGCCCGTCAGGGACACCTCTCCGGTCATGGCCACATTTGGACGCACGGGCCGAGCGGTCGCCAGGGACAACAGGGCCGTGACGATGGTGCAGCCTGCACTCGGGCCGTCTTTGGGGGTGGCCCCCTGGCGCGAGGAAATCAAAGATGAAACCATGCCAGCGGGGAGATCTGAAAGCTGCTCCTTCTGCCCCTTGTTCGTTTGTCGGTCACCTCCGGAACATGAAGGTGCAGGTGACAGTTGAGCAGGAAGTCGTTTTCTGGTTCTTGCTGCAGTAGGAAGGCTCTGGCGAAAGTCGAGGCGATTTTGGCGCTTTCTTTCATGACGTCGCCCAGCTGGCCTAAAGGAGGGTGGCGGGAAAATATGAACAAACATCAGCTCGTGGGCGGGTGGGTCAAAGGAAGCAAAGTAAACGAGCGCGCATTGAAACAAACAGGCAAGTAGTCCAAAGACAAACCCATGAAAGAATCAAGCGAAGAGGCGACCGGATCAACAACCGTGTCCGAAACCACATCAACAATCAAGACGATTGGCGACGATTGAGCTTTTGTGTGACGTTTTCTGACCTGTGAGCTCCAGAGAACCTTCTCCTTTGCCGTCTTTGACGGAGGGACGACGCACCAACGTCTCGATGAACAGAGTTGAGCCTCCTGCACACACAACAACGTCTGTAGTGTCTGCGTGTGTGTGCGGGCGTGTGTGCGTGTCTCACCCATGGCAGTCCAGGCCAGCCCCATGACCACTCCCGGCGGCGTGACATCGTACATCCTGTCCACAGTGAAAAGTGGTTTACCGACGTAGTCCTGAAGGTTATCTGGGGAGACGCTGACCACTTCCTGCTGCCCGCTGACGATGGAGAAGGCCACCTTACGGAAAACCTGGCCCAGCAACACACCACAGCCAAAAGGAACCTTTTGCTGAATGGCTCGGGAGACTTGATTCCGCCCACCGCGACTCCCAACCTATGCAACTCCAAGCGCCGCGGTACATGTGCTGGTTGAGCGGACTTTGTTAAAGGCCACTCACCTTTTCCACCTGTTTCTGCAGGTTCCTGACGCCGGACTCTCTGCAGTACTGTCGGATCAGGAGACTGAGCGCTTCCGGCGAGATGGACGCCTTTTCCTCACTCAGACCGCACAGTGAGCGCAACTGAGGGACGAGGTAACGCTGGACCACGCCGGGAAGGAAGGAACAACATCAACAACACCACTAGGGGTTTCCAAACGAGGGTCCCATTCCCAATCATCACCATCATCACATCCAACAATCCATGAAGTTACCTCGGCGATAGCCAGTTTTTCCTGCGCCACGTATCCCGACACGTTAATCATCTCCATGCGGTCTCGGAGCGGTTCCGGGATGGTGTCGGTCACGTTGGCCGTGCATATGAATAGAACCTTCAACACGTTCAGAGCAAAATGACGACAGGTTTCACGGAGAGGCGACCCGACGCCTTCCCACCTTGGAAAGATCCACGGGAACATCCAGGTAGTGGTCCAGGAAGTTGGCGTTCTGCTCGGGGTCCAGAAGCTCCAGCAGGGCCGAGGAGGGGTCGCCCTGATACCCGCGGCCCATCTTATCAACCTGGTAACGACACGTGACGAAAATGGCACTCCGAGCGAGGCAAAGGCAGCATGTTCACACGTCACACGGAGAGCGCTTCTTGAAAAGTGCTCGCAAGTCAACTGTGGTGCCACTCGGTTCACTTGCACTAAGTGGGACCATCGGGAAGACGAGGGACTTTCGACAGCAGGAACGTCACTCGGGATGGTTCTTGAATAAGAAGTACTTGCGGGAAACTCTTGGGCGGGGTCTGAACACCTGATTGGAACCTCCTCAATCCAAGAGGTAGCGCAAACTAAAACGTCCTGGAACTTTTCGGTGAAAATAAATGAAAATACACTTCGGCGCTGACCTCATCTATCAGAACCAGGGGGTTCTCCGTTTTGGTTTTCTTGAGGCACTGGATGATCTTCCCAGGCATGGCACCCACATAGGTCCTCCTGAGCACGTACACGCACGCACGCGCACGCATTCGCGTTAGAGAAAAGGGTCCAGCGGACACACCGTGTCTGCGACACCAACGGAGGCTTCCACCTGTGTCCTTTGATTTCGGCCACATCCGTCATGCCGCCCACGCTGAACCTGAAGTACTCGCGGTTGAGGGCGCGGGCAATGGAGCGAGCGATGGATGTCTTGCCTACCCCCGGAGGGCCGTAGAAGCACAGGATCTTACCCTGCGTGGACCCTCGCAGCTGACTGACCGCAATGAACTCCTGCGCGAACCAATCAAGGACCGGATGGAATCAATGTCAGGAACCGCGTTAACAACACACACTCGCACGCCGCACGTGCCGGGCGAACTGTGGGGACTGACCAATATGCGCTTCTTCACATCGTCCATCCCATAATGATCTTCCTCCAGAACCTCCTTGGCTCTGTCCAACGCCAGGTTCTCCTCACTGTTAGTGCCCCAGGGCATGCTGGTGAGCCAGTCGAGGTAATTTCGGGTCACACTGAAAAGACAAGCGCACACGTCGCACATTAAGATGTGGCTCGTCTTGTCGTGTGGTCCGGACGGGGAATGTTGTCACTTGAACTCTGAGGAGTGGTTGTCGAGCAGCGCCATCTTGGTGAGTTCCTCGTTGATGACGTCCATGATGTGCTGAGGGACCGTCCTGTCCTTCAGACGCTCGCGAAACTTCTCCTCGATAGCTTCCTTGTCCTCCTTCTCCAGACCCAGCTCCTGCACGCGACATTCGTCATCTGCGCGTCAAACACTTGACGTATCGCTCAACTTTGGCCTGTTTTATTGCCGCTTCTCCCCTCTCTTCCCGTTCAAATCAAGACTTATTTCCACGCCCGCATTTCACTGGACCATGCCGACGATGCAACTCGTCGCTCGCCCCACCTGACATCTGTATTTTGGCCTGTTCTACCGTCGCTTCTCCTCCCCTCCTGCCCGGCGAGGGGCCGATGATTGGCGCGAGGCTGCCGGGTTAAGGATAATTGGAAATTGCGGCAACGTGAAAACGGACTCTGTCACCTTCTTGATAATCTTGAGTTGCTCCTGTAACAGGTACTTCCTGTGCGTCTGCTTGATCTTCTCCTCCACCTGCCAGACGTGACGCACAACAAAGGTGGAAGAGGCCTTGAGCGCACGGACGAAGAAAGAGACTCGTTGCTCGTGGGGCGCTCACCTCTCGGCCCAGACGCTGCTGCAACTTGCTGAGCTCAAACTCCTTCTTGAGCAGCGACAGAGCCTTGTAGAGACGCTTGGGGATCTGCACGCGCACACAAACACGACAGGGGTCCTCACGCAATTCGGATACGACGTCGTACCGTCGAGAGGGCGGAGCAGCTTACCTTGGTTTCCTCCAGGACGTCCTGCAGCTCGTGCGACTCTGCCCCCGTTAGCGCGGCGCCCATGTCGCTCAGGTAGATGGGGTTGTCCACGACGCGCTGGCCCGCCTGCATCATCTGCAGAACAGACTCCCTGAGGCGCACGCGTGCACGTTAGGCGGGAGGCTCGGGCAACACCACGGTACAAGACAAACTACACGCAATCAGGGGCACGCCCAACCACATGCTCGATGCAAACGCGCACGCTCAAAGCCAGAGCCATTTCAAACATGCACAAAACACACACGCGCGAATTCACACATACGTACATTGCGATCAATATGACCACAAATGCGCACGCACACACAACACAAAAACATGCACACACAAACACACCGACTTTCCATGCATATACAATAAACGCACACGACAACATCCGCAACCTTCCACACACTCTCAAACAGACAAAACGAGCCCACAACGACGTCCACACAAATGCAAAACAGGCATGCCAAAGATGCGCACTCACACACCAACATGCACACAAAGTGACCTGTAGAGGGGGTTGAGCGCGATGATGTCACGGATGGTCTTGACAATCTCGGCCGTCAGCGCCTGCACAGAAAATGTTTCAAATTGACACAGACTTGATCTTTCCGCCACCCCCCCCCCATACACACACACACACACCCAATCGTGCGTTTGGATGAGTTTTTTTTTTTTTTTACATTTTCATCAGGACTGGATTTGTGCGCGCACATCTACCTTGACTTCCTCTGTGACGGTGAAGTGCTCGTGGAGGACGTTGTCCACCTCCACCATGAGGACGCCGGACGAGGGCAGGGGCCGCAGTTCGGGCATCAGGTCGGCTTGGGCAATCTGGCCGCCCCCGAAAGCACAAATGACCGAAATGCGACATCAGCGACGACCACAAAGCAGAAACGCCTGCACGGGGACCCACTTTGTCCTCCATCTGCTCATCCCGCCGGCCGCGCTTGGCCTTGCGTCCCGGCGCGGCTTTGCCCTGCGACTCGGACGACCACGCAGGTGACTCCGCCTCTTGATCCCCCTCCTCCTCCTCCGGCTCCACCTCCAGACGCCCGGTGATGCGAACTCTGTGAAGCAGCACGCGGCTCGTTAGCCAAGCTTACACTGGAATGCCCCTTTCCGGTGTTTGTGCTCACACCATAATTCGGATTGCGTTTGCGTACAAGCTCTCCTCTTTCACCTGACCTGCGGTGGCCCATGACGATCATCCTCAACTTGTCCCCGAGGTCCTGCATCTCGTGGATCTGTACAAAGGTCCCCGTAGCGTAGATGGCGTCGAGGGATTCCACCACATCTGACTCGTCACTGCGACACACACACACACACACACACACACACGTGAGTCCCGAGGACGTGCCGAGGACGGGGCAGGGCAGGCGGGACGTACTTGTCGTCTCTCTTGAGGAAAACTCCAGCGTAGGGCTGTGCCAGTCGAACCTTCCTTCTCAGCAGCTCCATCAGGCTTTTGTTTTTCACCTGCCGGAAGCACAACATCACGAGTCGCGATTTCCACAGAAGTCAAACAGGTGAAATATGTAAGTGACAAAGGGAGCGAGCCCCGCTGCTAATTCCAGACAACAAGCGATGGCCACACAAAAAGGTTTGGAGATTGTCAAAAGAAATCCACAAAAGGGCGGCAAACACTACTTTTGCCACCATGAAGCTCCTCAACTCACTTCAGCAGAAAAAATGATAGAAGACAGGTTTGGCAACACCACACTGAAATGTCTGTTTTCATACTAATTCCCTAGAAATTGTGCATTTCTGAAACGTGATCGCTATGCCGTTGCTCTCCTTTCCATGTTGTCAATGACATCCGGTTCCCAAACAAACATTGGCTGACGCGGTCCTTGAAAGTTAAAAGCACCTCCTCCTCACCTCGATGATCTTGATGAATCGGGGGAACACGGGGTTCCTGCTCACGGCGATCAGCGGCACGTTGGGGAAAACCTCCGGCACCGTCATGGGGGTCAGTGCAGTCATCTGGGCTCCGGCGTACGCCGCTCCTCCGTCCTCACCGCCACCGCCGCCGCCGCCGCCAGACTCCTCGCCGCCCGAGTCGCCGCCGCCGCCGCCGCTCTCCGCGCCGTCCTCCCCGGTAAACCCCGCGCCGCTCGCCCGGTTCCCAAAGGCTCTTGGGTGGCAGGGCGGTGAACCGGACCCGAGGAGGCCGGAACGGAAGCCGGTCACGCGCATCCAGCGACGAGGTCCGCTGTTGTACACGCGAACCGAGCGGAACCCGCCCGGGCCCGGTGCGTCGGCCCGCCGTAAGCCGAACCTCAAGTGCCCGGGCCGGGTGACTTTGACGACGTGGGCTGCTTTTCTGTGGACAAGTCCCGATGCTCTTAACATCACCATCATCACGCACGCCGCCATGTTTGCCTTTCGCTTTCCCCGGCGCGTGCGCAGCCCTTTTCCGTCCACGCTTGATGACGTCACAGTTGTCATTGGAAATACACGTCAACCCTCGCAAACTGGGGTCAAGGTTGTTTACTGTGGCCCGCTGAGCGGTTTCGAACCCTGCAGGTGGTAAATTCATTCCAGTTCGTGTCCTCGTTGATATTGTAATCCTTATTTGTCTTTTGTGGTGTTCCACAAATACTCTTGCCAATATGACGTCTCCGGTGGGTTACTGCTTTCGTAACACCATCTAAAAAAAATAAAACAAGTTCATGTGTATATTGTATGTATTTATGAACTGCTTGAGTTATGTTGTGACGCATAAACAGTGCTGAGATGTTATATTGTGCAGGAATTATTTGGAGTATGTTACATGGGTGTTTATTATTGTTTGCTGGTGTACTCTTCCTAAGCCTTAAGATTAAATGTGACATTTTACACATTTTACATTGTATCTATTATTTTAAGAACTGCCACTATATTGGGTAGACTTTATTCGTTGCCGACATTTCAGACTTCCACGATAACATGGAAACATTTGCACTGACTCGCAGTGAAATCATCATTGAATTCATCTTTGTTGCCATAAAATCGAGTCTTTTGAGCACTTATTCCAAAGTTTGCATCCAGCAGAGGTTGACAGTTGCGACGGCGTTGGTTTGGCGCGACGGCCTCAGTCGTCATCCTCATCCTGCTCCTCGTCTGAGTCTCCCTCCTCGGCCTCCTCGGCCGCCTGCTTCTCGTCCAGGGCGTCTTGCAGGGCCTGCTCCTCCTCCACGGTGGGGTCCACGTCCTCGGTGATCTCGGGGGCGCTGGGGTACTCGCTCTGGGGCGGGGGCGGCAGGAGCGGGCTGTAGCCGTCGCCCGGGTACTTCAGCCCCCAGCCCACGTAGATGTTCTCAAACTTCCTGCATCGGCACAGGGGGCAAAAGTTTGGGCAAATGAGGCTGGGGCACTCCGGTCGCCTGACTTGATTACCAGTCGGACGTTGGTCGCCAATTTGAGGACTGGGTATTTGCTCGGGTTGAAAGCCCAAGGCTCTACCCGATGCCGGGCGATTCGTCCTTATGACGGGAGTGCCGGCAGCTACGCCTTGAACTTACTTTGCGTAAGCGTAGGCGCACGCCCCAGGCCAGCAGTTGGAGCGCATGATGGCAATGGCGTGCTGCGAGGTGAGCGTGGACGACAGGCTGGAGCTCCATGGCACCGTCTCAAAGATTTCTGCCGGGATAACCCAAGGTGAGCACCCGTTCCGGCCGCGCGCTGTCAACGGGGAGCGGAGTCGGCCGACCTGCGTCCTGGGAGAGCGGCGTGAGCAGCGGGGGTCCCACCTCGGGCTCGGGCTCGTCGGGGTCCTCCTCGATCTCCTCGGCCTCCTCCTCGTTGGACTCGTCTTCCGTCTTCACGGCCAAGTTCACCCAGGTGCAGCGGCCCTGAAACCCACGGCAAAACTTTGAGGACCGAAGGCCCCACGATCACACTCGCAAACTAACCAGAGAGGATTGTGTCCGAGGGTTGAACGAAACATTTACGACTGCATGAAACTGGAGGAATCCAAACATTTACAGCTACGAGGACGATGAGGCTAAGTCTAAGTTTTAAGAATGAAGAGCACCGTGATATGGAATTTCTAACCGTCGACAGTAAAACTGAAGGATTTCCTACATCGCAACGCAAGTCTGAAGTTTCCACGCAAAGAGCTCCCGAGACGCAGAGCGGTACCTGCTGCAGGATGTGCTGTGTGTGATGCACCCAGGAGGACAAGGAGTCCACCAGCTCCCCAACGGGGACGCCCTCATATTCGGGGTTCTCCTCAATGCCGTCCTCAGAGGAGCCCTCCTCCTCTGCGCCTTCCTCCTCGATGGCCTGGTAAAAGCCCTGGGGGCTGATCTGCGTGCCGGCCGAGATGCGGGCAATCTGCGCCCGCAGGTAGTTGGCCTCGTTGCCCGGGAAGGGCGGGTAGCTGACGATGGGGGCGTCCAGCCGGCCCGTAAAGAACTTGCGGATCTGCCGGGCCACCGTGATCTGGGCCGGCGTGACCGACGGCAGCTTGGTCCAGGGCAGGCCCGCCTCGTTGCACACAAAGTACACAAATTTGTTGGCTCCGGTTCCTTTGGCCTCCTTGGGCACCACGGGGGGGGCTTTGTACGTAGACTGGGGGAGGGGATCCATCTGACGACACGAAATATCATCGTCAAGCAGGGGGAGTTCGCAGCCAGACATACACGGGGAAGGTGAAACTAAATGGGTCCGAAAACAGACCCTTGAGGCACCCCTGATGTGAGATATCGAAGGAAGACAAAGGTGTGGAGCATTCTGAGCAGTTACGTTACCAAAAGTATCACAACAATCAATTTGAACGACTGTCAAAACTCAACCTGACACGATGTAAAAGGATGATGAGTTTATTGGCCAAATTGTCTGCCATATCAGACCATTCTTTTTGACTTGCTGTTCGGCGGATGTCATCTTTCACGTCACACAACATTGCGCTCCACATCCCCCGATGAAGTCAGGCGTGACGTCACGCCGCAGCCTCTCGTCATTTGCCAAAGTGCAGACGGTCGTCGGCCGCTCACCTCGCGCTCGGCTTTCTCCTTGGCGTCGACCTCGCGGGCCTCCTCGTCGGCCACCTCCTCGGGCCCCTCCTCGTCCTCCTCCTCGCCCTCGGCAAACTCGGCCTCGGCGATGATGTAGCTCCTCTCGATGCCCAAGATCTTGCCCCACAGGCGGCAGCGCTGCATGGTGTAGGACGACACCAGCTGCTTGAGGGCCAGGAAGACGCGCTGCATCTCCTCGCGGCCCAAGCCCACGCCGGCCTGCTCCAGGAAGTACGCGATCTCGCTCACGTTGGGCAGGGCCGATTCCTGGCGGGCAAAAAGTCACATTTGTCCAACTGAAACGCCACAACTCACTTCAACATAGTTGATCATGTTTTCAATTGCTTCGACCCAAACTCAGAAAGAGAAATGTGGGATTTCGTTTTGTATTCCCCACCCCGCACCCTGTAATGAGGATCGGCTCGGCTCAAAATTCTCCAACTCGATCAATGCGGAGTTCACCGTCTCCCTTTTGTCGCCTTGTCGTGTCGAACGCAAAGAGGAGCTCGATCGGTGATCGCACCAGCTCGAATTCGTGCTCGGGGGCGTCCTCGGGCCTGACGAAGAGAACCTTCTGCTGCTCGGCCAGCTCCTCGGCGGCGGTGGTCTGCTGGAGGTCCTGCAGGCTGCTCTGCGTGTCCTCGTACAGACGCAGCTTCACGTCGTGACTCAGGTCCTCCATCACGTCCACCACATCGTGAGGACGCTCCTCGATCACGCGCATCAGCAGCCGAGAAAGGTGGTCGTACCTGCCAAAGTGGGGACCGGGGCGAAACCTCCGCTTATCGTCATTTATTGAACATGTTAAACATCACAGCAAACACATTTCCGTCGTAATTCGGTCGGGAAGTATGTGCCTTCTGGCTTTTATTTTCTGAGTTTGAATTGGAATTTGTTCAGGGATATATCTGGCAACAAAGTAGGAGGGAAAATGGCGGGGGGGGGGGCG